ATGAAAGCAAGACCCATTACACCTTTATGGCTCTGAAGATTTTCAAGAACTGAGGCCAAATGGTATAACAAAAGATGCTCCCAATGCTCTTAAGCTTAGAAATTCCGAGGACTTGGGGAACTGTGAACCAGGAACTGTGGACAAAGACAAAGCATAGATGAGACATGTATTTTGGTCATTCAACTGACCAAATATGTATGTTGGCAGCAGTAATGGCACGAGGTGTTAGACCAGTGGAGTCAGACTGAACCTCCGTTCAGCAATCCCAGCACTTGAGTTCTGGCTAAGAAAGAATTCAGATCCAAGACTCAAACTGAAAGAGCAAGTTTATGTCACAGAAGTAGAAGAAATCAGTTCAGGAAACAAGTTACAGAGGCAAAAAATAAAAAATTTTAAAAAAGGTTGTGGGGGAGGTGGCCGGGGCTTGGAGCTTCAGAGACAAGGAAAATGTCCCCAAGGGAAGGGGGAGGGAAAGGCAGGGGTATGCTCTACAGAGAGCTGCACTGGGTCCTCAGTCTTTTATTTTAATTTTATTTATTTTTTAGTATTTTTATTGATTTCTGAGAGAAAGGGAGAGGGAGAGAGAGATAGAGACATCAATGACCAGAGAGAATCATTGATAGGCTGCTTTCTGCACGCCCCCTACTGGGGATCGAGCCTGCAACCAGGGTATGTGCCCTGACTGGGAATAGAACCGTGACCTCCTGCTTCATTGGTCAATGCTCAACCACTGAGCCACACTGGCCGGGCTGGGTCCTCAGTCTTGAGGTTATTTAACTGGAGGTCTCAGGAAAGGATCCCAAGAGAATATTCATCAGCTTTCTAGGTGTGTCTTTCAGGGTCATGGTCTCTACTGATTGGTCAATGCCAGGGCAGGAAGTCATTAGTCAATGTAGCTGGTCCTAATGTCAGCCATGGTGTCACTTGTCTGTTTTTTCCGCTTTTTTTCTGGGCCTGGAGCTGAAACACGACTGAGGCCTAGATGTATTTGATGTGGGTCAGTCAGAACCTCATTGTCTTAGAGGCTTAAGAGCTATTCTCCTCGAAGGGCTGGGGGTCTAACCCATATGACCAGCAACATGCCAGGCAGGAAAGGTCAGGGGGGATACAAACTGCATGGCCAGTGAGATGAAAGGTAAGGGGGTCTAAACTGCATGACCATCTATATGCTAGGGGAGAAAAGGTTACCCTGAGGGTGAGGTCCTTGTTTTCCCAGTTTTGCCCATTGCTAGACACCTGGAGCTTTCTGTTCTAGTGACCTTCTGTAACCTGGCCCATCATTCTTGCTCTGCTCATATCTGTCTAACTGCCTACCACATATGTTAAAAAAACAAAACTTCACCCTGGCTGGTGTGGCTCAATCATTAGAGTGTGGGCCCTCACAACAAAGGGTCTCAGATTTGATCCTTGATCAAGGGCACATACCTGGGTTGCAGGTTCCATTCCAGGCCCCAATCTCAATCTCTCTCTCTCTCTCTCTCTCTCGCTCTCTTCTCCCCCTACTCACCCTCCCTTCCACTCTCTCTAAAAATCAATGGAAAAATATTCTCAGATGACGGATTTGATCCTTGATCAAGGGCACATGGGTTGCAGGTTCCATTCCAGGCCCCAATCTCAATCTCTCTCTCTCTCTCTCTCTCTCTCTCGCTCTCTTCCCCCCTACTCACCCTCCCTTCCGCTCTCTCTAAAAATCACTGGAAAAAATATTCTCAGGTGAGGATTAACAAAAACAAAACAAAACTTTCAACCAAGTAAATTTGAAGATTTAATTGGCTTTATTCAGTGATTCCCAATTGAGCAACATCCCATCTAGCACCTAAAAGGGCGTTCCCAGGAGTTATACAAAATAAGGGATTTTATAGAAGATGGATTTATTAGGGAAAGAAAAGATGATTATTTGGGGGCCAGAACATCTATATATATTTAATTGATTTCAGAGAGGAAGGGAGAGGGAGAGAGAGATAGAAACATCAATGATGATGAGAGAATCATTGATTGGCTGCCTCCTGCATGCCCCCTACTGGAGATCAAGCCCGGATCCCAAGCATGTGCCCTTGACTAGAATAGAACCAGGGACCCTTCAGTCAGCCAGCCTATGCTCTATCCACTGAGGCAAACCGGCTAGGGCCAGAACATCTTTTCTTTAGGGGTAGGAAAGTGGAAGGGTTTTTATTATGTAGATTGTCTTGCTACTTCCTTCTACTTACTGGTTAATTAGTCTTATTTATTCGGTGCTTGATCAGAAAATTCCAGCCTGATTAAGGTTAATTAAGATTACATTTCTGGGAGAGGTTAAAACTGCAATTAGATCAGGTATTAAATCTAGGTTTGGCATCATGGGCTTTTAGCACTAATAATGCCATTTTGGGCCTGCAGTTTTCTTTTTAACATATATATTTCTTATAAATCACAATATCACAGATGTCCAATGTGCTGGGGATGGCTGTGAAGGAGGAACTGACCTTTTAAGAACTAGAGAAGATGTGGACTGATTTCTGGACTGGAGATGAGAATTGAAGGGAACCTGAGGTTGCTTGAAACTTTACAGCCGTGAACATGGGTGTGAAAAGTTTTGATTTCCTTTTCTCTCAACTGCAGGGTCTTTCAAGGAAGACAGACTGGGCCTCACAGGCTGTCTGTGTGGGATGTAAGAAGATGTAAAGAGTTAAAGCTAGCCCGGCTGGCGTGGCTCATTGGTTGAGTGTCGACCTATGAACCTGGAGGTCACAGTT